GATCTCTTTTGTGAGATCCACCAGTGCTTGAGAATGAGTACCTCCCAGGCGGTTGATGTATCTTACCGCTGAGACGTTGTCCATGCGAAGCAGGATACAACAGTTGGATCGTTCCTTTGCCAGACTGCGAATTACGAATGACCTGGCCAGGAGTTCCAGGCAATTGATGTGCATTGATAACTCTTCGGCAGTCCATACTCCTCCTGTGGAGGAAGTTCCGTCCATTGCTCCCCAACCTGAACGGCTGGCATCTGACTCCAGCACAAAGTCTGGCTGGTTCCCGAATATGGCCCTGCCATTCCAAGCCTGCATTCAGTTCAGCCACCAGCGTAGTTCCTCCCGAACTTCGTGTGACATTGGAACCGGTTAGTCGTATGTAGGCTTCCTGCGAAGGAATGTTGCCTTGAGGCGCTGCATGGCCCTGTAATGCAGAGGTCCGGGGAAAATGGCCTGGATGGATGCGGAGAGGAGGCCTACGATGCGTGCCAGTAGTCGCAGGGGTATGGTTGTCCGTCAAAGGACTTTCCGGATCTCTCTGCGGATGGCTGTGATTTTTGTGGCCGGCAGGTGAAGAGTGCATGATGTGGAGTCTATTACAAATCCAAGGAATTGAATTGACTGAACCGGGATTAATGCGGACTCATGATTGACAATGAAACCTAGAGACTCTAGTAGGTGTACTGTGTAGTTCGTGTGTGTCCTCAGGGTCCTTGCGTCCTCGAAGATCAAGATGTCGTTGAGGTAGATGATGCATCTTATTCCTTGAGCTCTGAGTTTTGCCACCACTGGCTTCATAATCTTGGTGAAGCATCACGGTGCGGAACTGAGGCCAAACGGGAGACAGGTGAATTGCCAGGGTGTCCCCTGCCAGAAGAAAAGGAGGTAGGGACGGCTGTTTCTGTGTACCGGAATGGTAAGGTACGCGTCCTTGAGGTCCAGGCGGGTGAACCAGTCGTTGCGTCGAAGCAGATCTCGTAGAAGGTGGATACCTTCCATTTTGAAATGTCGGTATACTACGTGAGAATTGAGCTCCCTGAGGTTGATTACGGGGCGGAATTCACCAGTTTTCTTTCTGACTAAGAAGATGTTGCTGTAGAAGCCTGTTAAGTCCGGGGCAGGTTGGATGGCACCCATGGAGTGAAGTTCTCGTAGTTCCGAGTCTATGAGACGGGCATCTGCCCGTGTAGTCTGGATCGGACGTGGAGGGGCCTTCTGGAGCGGGGTTGAATCAAACTCTAATTGATAGCCCTGGACCGTTTGGAGGATCCACGTGTCTGAAGATAGGTCTACCCAGTTCTGGAAAAAAAGAGAAATACGGCCTGCGACATGGCAGGAGGTTAGAGGCAAGATTAAATGTTGACTTACCATTGGAGAATCTTGCCCGGGATCGTCCTCGGCCACGGTCTGATCCGCGGAATTGGTGGAATCTATGTCGTGTAGACGAGTCTGGGTAGAAAGATTGGCTCCTTGTTGTACGGGGGCCTGATGGCCAAAAACGGCTGGCGGCACGGCACCTCTGCCGTCCAGCCCTCCCAAAAACACCTCAGGTGTGAGAACCGCGGAAGACTTTCCACATCGAAGTTTGAGCCTTGTTAAGGGACGTGAATATGTTGACCTTTTTGTTTAATTCTTTGAGGAAGGCCTCTCCAAACAATTTGCCCTGTGCCAAAGGGCCTAATTCTTTTTCCCCCAGTTCGACAAGTTTTTCGTCGATACGGTAAAGTGCTTCTCGGCGCCTCTCCAAAGAGAGGGCCACGTTGGTGTTTCCTAGGAAACAGAAACACCTCTGTGCCCATTCACGGGTGTCTCGCACCGTATCTGGGGTGAAATCATCAGCCCGCTCATAGGCATCATCCGCCATATCCATAATCCTAGCTAGCGGCCCAATGGCGTCTAGCAGTTTGTCCTGCGCTCCCTTGAAACCGCGCTCTATGCCTCTGTGCGGGTCCCGACCCCCTCGGGACATTAAAGTCGTCATGAGCGGGTCAAATTCGGGGGTGTGCGCCACCTTGTCTGGTAGGCTAGGCCGGGGGCATTCTGATCTCATGCGTTTCCTTACTTCCTTGTCCAGAGATTTCCTGAGCCAGAAGTGCATAAACTTTGTCAAGTGTTCGGGTGGAGACCATTCTTCCGAACGGGGATGACGGATATTTCTCAGGTCAAACATTTGGAGGCCCGAATTGTCAAGGAAAATCTCTGTGCTTTCCTGTGGGTTATCCATGGGTGTAGCCATGGAATCATGGGGCTCACCCAGAAACTTTTCCCTTGTGAAATAAGGGTCAGAGTTGGCCACGGAGTCTTCACCAGAGTCCTCCTGGTCAGAGACTACCGCCTGCCATTCATCTAGCACAGCTAGAGAGTGTGTGGGTTCTATGTCTTCCTCACCCGAGGAAATCTGTGTGGGTTCGTGGGCAGTACGAGCTATGGCTTTCCTGCGTTTAGCAGGGGCTTTACCCTTAGATTTGCGT